CCATAGCCGGCTTTGCCTAAAGCCATCCCCACCGGGGACAAAACCTCTGTTGCTGTGAACTGTCCCATCGAACCTGAGGTGGGAGGCAGCGGCTCGATGTCTTGTACGAGGCTACAGGCAGAGAAACATCCCCAGGGGCCAGAAAAAAGCAAATTGCGGGACAGCAGTGGCACCTCTTCACCTCCTTAAGTGCACGGGGACCCAGAATCTGCCATACAAGATTTTCGTTTTCTCAGGAAGGAAAGTACTGGGAATGTTGGAAGGGAATAGTTACAAAAAGTTTTTAAAAAGAAAAAAAAAAAAAGAAAGAAAGAAAGAGAAAAATTAAGAAAGAGACATAAGCTTCAGAATCGGGCCAAATAAATGTTAGAATTCCCACATCTGCCAAGGGACAGCTATATCTGGAGGCTCCTTTCAGCAGCAGGACCACCGACACACTCGGAGGAGCAAAACAAATCCAAAACGTTTTCCCCCGGTGTCACGACAGCTGTCGGCTTTGGGAGCAGCGAGCTCGTCCCCAGACCGTGCTGAGACTGCGGCAGCCCACGGGGAGCCACCGCCGCCCCTCTCCTGCCGCCGAGTGCTGCCAGCCCGGGGACATCTAACCTGCATGGTGCCCGAGCCTGGGGAGAGCGAAATGACAGCAGGGGACGACTAGAGTGAAGAGCTGACAGGGAAACAGCCCGGCTGCATCTCGGGGCAGCAAGCACAGCGGCCGGGAAGCAATGGAGCAGCAGGGGCTTCCAGCAAGCCATTTCGTGCTCGGGAGCCGCAGCGACAGCCCGTGCGAGCCAGCGGGGAAGGAAAGGCGCCGGCGGTGATGAAGAATCACTGGCGCCCAGACAACACGGCCGCCTGTGAGCGTGGTCCGGGCAGGGCTCCTTCGGCGAAGAGAAACAACMGCAGCCACCACCGGGTCCGCTCCCTCCGAGCGGCACTGCCCGGCTCTGGCCCCGCGGGCGCGGCTCCCCACCCCACGGCAGGCTGCCCTCCCCTTCGGGCAGCGCTGGCCTMGCCCGAGAACGGCAGCCGACGGCGGGGATGAGCCGCCAGCACCGCGCCGAGGGCCCGGGCTTGCAGCAGAGCCTTGGAGGAGCCAGTCCAAGGCGGGAGGCTGCCCCAAGTGACTATCGCGATTGTGTCGGGATAGAGATGCCCTCGGCAGTTTTGTCGAGAATTGCCAAAGCCCCTGTCACGGCCCAATCCTGAGCCGGCGCCCCTGGTCTCCCGCCAGGCTCCGGGAGAGAAAAAACAATCCTCCGACCCACGCACCTTCCCCGGGATTCGCCGAAGTTYTAAAACGGCCCGGGCCGTGGCAGTGGGGCCGCAGGCTGCACGGCGAGGCCGCAATCGACCGGGAAAAGCAGCTCGAGGTCTCAGCGTTTCCTCCGACTGCACGGCGTCCTCACCGCTATCGGCAGCCGTAAATTCAGCCAGAGACCCCGGCTGTCGGCAGAAGAGGGATCGCTCCATCMGGGACAGGCTTTATTAAAGAAGTGCTAAAGGCGCCCGGACAGAGCTCCTGGGCCCGCTCCGGCYCCCACAGAGGAATCGGGCATCGGCACTGCACGGTGCAGCCGGGCCYCACGATCCTCACTGCCTGCTCCGTGCAAGTGGGAAAAGGAGGGATATGGTCTGAGCTACAGCCTGAGGTCTGCTGCGGGGAAACAAAGAATCGTTGGGGAAATCCGTGTCTGCTCTCAGGAACGACACAAGCAGCAGAGGTGTTAAACTAAAATTTATAAATTACAAAAAAAAAAAAAAAAAAAAAAAACAAAACAAAACAAAAAAACAAAAAAAAACAAAAAACAAAAAAGAAACAACCCAAAAAAAGTACAGAGGGTAGCTTACAAACATTCACAATTCATTTGAAGTAAATAATCTAGTTGAGTGCACAGTGCCATTAAAAGAGCAATGGGGGGGGGGTAGGGAGAAAGAAGGGGGAAAAAAGCAATGAGTTACTTTGGAAGAAGGAGATTATAATTACATTGCTGAGCAGATCAGAAATCCCCACCCATTAAGGAGAGGTCTGCAGAAGAATTATGAAAGGCACTGATGGTATTAAAGTTTCCTGTTACATCGATTTCTTAAAAAGCCTGACGGGAAATATTCACATTGAATATAAAAATAATAACAACAACTTTAATACATCTGGAAAGTGCGAAAAATCTGTAACTCCTCCCTCCCCGAACACGGAAAGATCTCAGGAAAAAAAGGAAAACAAGAAGTCAGGAGTTTCGATATAAGTCTCACCCTTTTGTGACATTATTTATCCTTTGCCAGGGATCATGGAGTACAGAAATAACATGGGCAACAAGAGCAGGGGGGACCTGAAAGASGCTTCCTTACATTCAGCACCATACAAGGCACACTCAGTTTGCAGCAAGTTGGAACACCAAGGACTCAGACGAYAAAAATCATCTTCCTTACAATCCACCGAGGGAGTCCTTGATCTCCTCATTTGAGCTGCATTCAGTTTTGCAGGTTGTACTCTTTTTTCCTCTCCTTTGTTTCCTCTCTCTCTTTTTTCTCCACACAAGATCGAGTCTCTAGCGATCCGAAGCAAAATAAAACAAACAAACAAAAAGTCTACACCAAATACACTGACAACATGGATACCATGAACAAGTCGTGCTGAATCGCCAGAGTCCTYGGCTGGAGGGGTGGGGACGGGGTGAGGGCTATGTAGGGGTGGCCGAAAAGTCCTATGTTGAAAGASGAGATTGTGAGGAACCATCCAAAAATATTAATAATAAAAATAACAATAAAATAATAATAAATACTGTCCAAGGCACTGAGATCTGCAGCTGGGGTTCTAGACTTGAGAAGCTGAAYGGATGGATTGATGGCTGGGGGTGGTGGCAGAGGGAAGATGGGTTTCCTGGCTGCCAGTGTGTATGGTGGGGGTGTCGGGGCCGGGGGGTATGTATGTGTGCCTCTCACTGGGTGCCGGCGGCTGCAGCGCAGGTGGACAGAGCCCACCCGGGAAGGCAGTAGTAGGGGTAGTAGTAGGACGGCTGGAGGGAGAGCAGAGAGGGCGGCCGCAGCACCTCGCCGGGGTGGTACTGTCTCTGGTCGTCGCGCACCAGCACCTTGACGGCCACCTTCTTGGCGGCGGGGGCGGCGGCCAGGAGGTCGGCGGCCATCTGCCGCCGCTTGGTCTTGTAGCGCCGGTTCTGGAACCAGATCTTCACCTGCGTCTCGGTGAGCTTCAGCGAGGCGGCCAGGTCGGCCCGCTCGGGCCCCGACAAGTAGCGCTGGTGGTTGAAGCGCCGCTCCAGCTCGAAGACCTGCGCGTGGGAAAAGGCTGCGCGGGAGCGCTTCTTCCGCGGTTTCGGAGCCGCCGCCGCCTCCTCCTCTCCSGGCAGCAGATTCCCGCACTTGCCCGCTCCGTCCTCCTCGTCCGGGGGGCTGCGATCTGCGGGCAGGGCGAGAGCACGGCGGTCAGAGCAGGCAGGCACGGGGACAGCGGCATCCCCACTCCTCGGGGGGCCCGCAGCCGCGTAGAGGCGGCCAGGAGGGCTCCCTGCGGCCAGTCCGCAGCGACGGGGCGAGTGGAGAGCCAGCCAAGCCGCCGCCCGCCCCGTCACCGGGACAGCCGCCGCCGCCAGCCGGGGCTTCTCGTTCTCCTTTAAGCGCCGGGCGCCCTGGCGGGCTGCGGGCTCAGCCTGGCCAAAGGCCCTCCCCGATCCGCCCTCCCTCGCCCCGCGGGACGCGTTTCGGGCTTCTTCTCCCCCCCGGCACAACCCGAGCCCGTCGCACAACCCCGGGGAGTCGGCAGAAAGCCACGATCATCTCCCGTTCCCAGCCATCCGGAGCCCTCCCGCTCTCCYCGCGCAGGAGTCGCCATCGGGGCCGTCCCTACCTGAGACGGCGGCCGACATCTCGCTGTCGCTGAGGCCGGCGGCGTCCCGCTCCGCCGCCTCCGGGGGCTGCGCCTCCTCCGCCGCCGGCCGCCCTCCGCCCGTGGCTTCCGCGGGGCGGGCGCTGCCACCGGCGCTCTCCTCCTCGGAGCGCCGCTCGCCCTCGGGGTCCTCGCTGAGCGCGGAGTCCGAGTCCCAGCCCGCCGGCGTCC